CAGTAATCCAAATGGCTCGTATCAATGATTGTTATTATCGTGAAAATAATGGAGTTTGATGTTGAATCTCATGGACATTGCATATAAATTCACTCAAACACGGCAACAAAGGTTATTTGTGTTATTAAAGGTTATTAAACACACTCTGATTTCATATTTTATACTTTATAATTTAAACTACAAAACGTCCCTCAAACTTTAACACGCTTCCTTCTCGTATATCTCTCGTCCCCCTGCTCCCGCCTAATAACGTCAATCATTACATCGCTTTCTCTTTTTTTTTTTTTTTTTTTAAAAAACTCAACTGAATAACTAGGAAATGTTTGTTATCGTTCCCAGTTCCCAAGTTTTAGGACACTAGTCTAGATGGTATTGGGTTACCAAATCTGTTTACAGGTTGTTGTTTTCTCGTTGATCTTCTTGGTGGTGGTTGGTGTTCTACAATATCCTGCATCTCATGATTCTCATCTTCGACTCCGTTACCTCGTGCATCATCCACGTTTTTGGGCTTCTCTTCGTCACTACTTTGTTCATCCGCAGGTTTAACTACTTTGAAATGAGACACATTGCGTGTGATAGTACGTCTGTCGTTTCTAGCTGTGGCTGTTGCTCCTTTCCTCTTCACGATCGTAAATCGCTCAGGATTGAATCTAGGAGATAGCTTGTTAATTGGTTTTTGTTTGCAAATAACAATGTCACCTTCCTTGATTGTGGATGTTTTGGTGTTATTCTTGACATCATAATATTGGTTATTACTGATCTTCCTCTTCTCAATGTTTTCCTTAGCGCTTTGATGCTTGTTAACGATTTTCTTTGTTGATAGCTCAGGTAGACTTCCTTGAACCTTTCGGTTTAACAGTAACTCACATGGAGGTATCTTAGTAGTGGCATGCGGCGTTGAGCGATAATTTAATAAGAATCGTTGAAGTTCTTGTCTCCAATTCTTTCCCTCTAACACAGAAGTCTTTATCACTTTTCCTAGCGGCTTCATCACACTCTCGGCATTACCATTCCCTTGGGGCCATAACGGAGTGCTTCTGGTCCATTCGATTCCCAAGGCAGCCATGTATCTTTTGAAGTCATCCCCATTAAAAGGTGGGCCATTATCAGTTTTAATTGTTTTTGGAATGCCGTGAGTTCCAAATATACGGTCTAGCTTAGGGATACAGGCCTTCGCTGAAGTTGACTTCACAATTTCCACTTCAGGAAATTTAGAATACGTGTCGGTTACAACAAGTAAATAACGTCCACTGTGGGGAATAGGACCATAAAAATCGAGTGCCAAGCTTTGCCATGGCTCCGTTGCTGTAGGCGTTACCCTCATCGGTTCAGGTGGACTACCGGGACCAACAGCTTGACAAGCCGCACAGTTTTCAATGAAGGTTTTAATTTTACTATCCATTCCAGGATACCAAATTTTCTCTCGTAATAGCGCTTTAGTCTTTTCTATTCCCTGGTGTCCCACATGGCCAAGTTGCGTTGCACGGTCTTGTAATGATTTTGGTATAACAATTCTGCTTCCCTTCAGAAGAAGGTCTCCTGCTTTCGTTGCTGTTAGTTCTTCCGCACACATGTGATAAGTTTTGAGTTCTACATCCTTCTCGTCCCATTTCCCTGTTTTTAAGCATTCCACAACTCTGCTTAAAGTTGCGTCTGACAGGGTGGCATCCTTGATTTCTTGGAGTGTCATTGACTTCGGTGCGGCGTTGTTAATGATATAGTTTACATAATTATCTGCAATCTTTTCTTCGATTGTGGTTTTTTCTTGAGTGCTGGTAGGATGACGGCTCAAATAATCAGCTTCATTAATTGTTCCCTTCTTGTAAATCACACGGAAGTTGTACGGTTGTAACCGTAACATCCAGCGCTCTATACGAGCTGGAGGCTTAGATTTCGGATTATTGAAGATTGCTTCCAGAGCTTTATGGTCAGTATAGACATCGAACTCACTACCCAGAAGGAACAGTCGAAAGTGTTCAATTCCCCAAACTAGACTCAAACCTTCAATATCTGTCTGAGAATATCGACTTTCAACTGGAGACAGGGCTCTACTTGCGTAGGAGATAACGGTACAATTCTCCGGACTTCTCTCGTTGTGCTAAGATTGCACAAATTCCCAAAGGCGATGCATCAACAATAAGCAAGCTTCTTTTTCTGTATCGAAATAAGCCATAGTAGGAGCTTGTGTCAATTTCTTTTTGATCTTCTAAAAGGCTCTTTGGTGAGTATTGTTCCATGTGAAAGCGACACTTTTCTTGTGAGATTCCTCAGCGGTGTAGTAATTTCAGCATACTCTGGAACATACTCTCGGCACGTGTTAGCTAGACCCAAAAACTGCGTACTTCGCTGGCATTCTTTGGTGCTCTGGCTTTGACCAAATTTTCTACTCTTGCTGGATCAGGTCTTGTTCCGTTGCTGTAAAAATGAGACCATAGAAGTTAATCTCGTTGCGTAGGAAACTACACTTCTCGGGTTTCGCTTTTAAGTTGAGTTCATTAGTCGTTTCAAGCAGTTTTCTAAGGCTTCATCGTGTTGCTTTCGTGTTTTCCCGTGAACGATTATATCGTCTGCGATATTCTTTACTCCACAAATGTCACTAAGGTGTTGTTGCAAAATGTTCTGGAATATTTCTGGTGCACTGTTTGTTCCATAGTTCAGTCGTTTGTAACGAAAGAGGCCCATGTGTCGAAAATGTGGTTATGTAGCGACTTTCTTCGGTCAGTTCTAACTGATGGTAGGCTTGTTTAGATCGATCTTCGAGAAATATTTCGATCCATTCATCTCAGCACGAAAATCGGAAAGGGTTGGCATGATATGTCTTTCGCGCAATCGCTTCATTGGCTGCCCTCATATCAACACAGATTCGTGTTCCGCCATCCTTCTTTGGGGTGCACACAACGGGCGAAATCCAGGGTGTAGGTTGGTCACAGACTCTTTCGATCATATCTTTCTCCATCAATTTTTCTAGCTCTTTTGATACATCTTTGCGAATATGATAAGGTAATCCGGCGCTGCGGCTGAACTACCGGTTTAATATTCTTATTAATATGCAACCCGACTTGTTGAGTGTTCAATTTTCCTTCACCAACGAAAACATTTGCATATTTATCAATAATTTCCTGGATATCTTTATCGGCACATTTCGGCGTTGATGCAAGCGCTGGCTGGCTTTTATCCGTGCTTTTATTGCTTTTTCCGGTGTTTTCCATATTCTTCGAAATGACTTCCGGTTTAGAAACTTCCGGTTTCAGTGGCGTCTCAAGTTCAGTGACTTTGTTTACCAATTGAATTAATGCCAAATCTTGAGCGGTTTTGGCACTAAGTAGATTTCCAGAGCCACCTTCGACAACATGAATAACCGAGACAGTATAACGTTTGTTCGACTCCAACGTTGCCTGAAATTGACCTTTAAGAGGTAGTGGTTTATCCGAGCCATAAGCAAATATCTGTGTGGCACTCTTGCACAATTTTACGCTGGATTTGAGGCGATCGTACGTTTGGGAATCGATGACATCAACTGTGGCTCCTGTATCAACAATGAAATTAATATTAGTTGAATTTATCCGTATGTTTGTTTCGTCTTTGGGTGGTCTTTGGTTTTGTTCTTCACTGCGTACACATAATCGTCTTCTGAACTGGTCTCCGTCGAGGAATCGAGATGTTTGTTGACTGCCCGTGCATGACTTTTTTGTTTGGATTCTGATTTCAATTGTTCTTTTGATTGTTCTCTTCGTCGGGGCGATTCTTTTGGAAGTTGTGACTTGGGAAAACGACGCGATTGTTTCTTTCGACACACTCTCGAAAAATGACCAAGTATACCACACGCGTTACAAGTTGAATTGGCAGCTGGACACGGGCGATCCCCATGAGGGTAAGCAAATCCACAATTATAACACATAGCTTCAGCTGGTCTTCTCTCCACTTGATTAAGTTGTACATCTTTAAATTTTTCTTCCATCCCACTGGCTTGGGCTATACTGGTTTCAGATTTGCGACCATCGATCAACATATCTTTCAGTGAATAATTGCTTTCTTTCAACGCTTTCTTACGCAGTCTTGAAGATGTCCCATTGCACACAATTTGCATTTTTATCTCAAATTCAACATCAGTGAACTCACAATGCTTTGCTAATCTTCTCAAGCGTGTGTGAAATTCATCTATTGTTTCATTATCTTGTTGCGCTGCTTGTCTAAACATATATGTTTGGTAAATACGATTTTTCTCCGGTTCGAAATATGCAGTGAGAGCGTTGACAGCTGCTTCGTAATCTTTCTCATCTCCTGTGTCTGGCAGTGTTTTAAATATTTCGTGAACTTCAGGCCCAGCTTGGTACAGTAGAAGTGCTCTTTGACGTGCAGTATCCTTCACATTTGTAGCGACTAAATATGTTTTAAAACGTTGAATCCATTGTGTCCATCGAGCGCTTGTATTCGTTGGATCAGCCTTCGGTTCGAACAAAGGCATTGGCTGTAAGCCATCCTCGTCGCCAATGTAATAATTAAACACACTCTGATTTCATATTTTATACTTTATAATTTAAACTACAAAACGTCCCTCAAACTTTAACACGCTTCCTTCTCGTATATCTCTCGTCCCCCTGCTCCCGCCTAATAACGTCAATCATTACAATTTGCAAAAGCAGATCTATAGCTATTTATCATATACATTATACAAATAGACATACATGCATATAAAGCTCGAACAATGTTATATTAAGGGTGAGTTTCAAGTACCTGCCGGAACTATAATCTGGCCGGTATTATATTAATTTGAGGCTTCTTTCCAGATTCTGTTTCCATTTTAATTTTTCAATTTTCCTATCAATTGACAATAACTTGATGGTGTAATTCTGTCTTGAAGTCAATATCAAATCATCTGGAACTTTCTTATCATCATTAACATTTTAATTAGAACCGTGCAAACCGGAAAAGTTATTCAATATCACGGGGAAAGGTGTTCGACGATAGTTTGGACAATACCATAAAATTTTGGCCAAGTTTTCTTTCAGGAGTGTAGAACAAACAAAGTTAAACCCCCGATCGGTCGACTTGTATGACACCCGACAATCGAAATCGAAAATATTCAGTTGGAATAATTGGACGACTAAAACGACTAAAACGAGGTAATATTTGCGGGAAAATTTTACTACCATGTGATCATGCTGCTTCAATATGAAAAAATAATTAATTAGTTCTTCCCTAAATAGGGTTAATCGATCTTTCAAGATGATTGACATTGTATTAAGAATTGCTGTCATATTTTCTCTTCGGTTCTTATCGTTTGCTGCTGGTAAGTATGTCTAGTATATGTTATACGCAGTTTGTTATCAGGCCATTGAAATATTGATGTTCTTGCCAAAGCGGAAGAGAGCTATTTTACCATTCACGAGCATATTAAGACATTAGTATCAAGCAAGCACTTCACACCTTATTCCGCTTACAAATATGTTGAGTGGATCAATATGAGCCATAATTTAGAAATATCGTCAATATTTTAAAGAATTTTGGTACACATAGATACTTAACATGCTTACAAGTTCACCTAGAATTGTTTCACACGGTGAAATGCGGGGAAATACAAAAGACAAATTTATTCATATGATGCAAGTTTGGGAAATGTTTTATCAGGCATTAAATCTCTAATTTCAATATGCAATGAAAGTTATGCGTCAATAATCATGCTAAAACGAAAAGTTCCACTGGCTTCTTCGTCTTGTACACCAAGGATTCAAAGGATTTCAATAAATCAGCTGAAACATTTCTTGCAAAAGTTTTAATTAAGTGTCTAAGAAGATTAACAGGGCGAAACGTCGAAAAGTTAATTGCCAAATTACCCATAGTGATTGGTAATCTGGGTAGATTTTTATGACTTTATGGCGGTGACTAGATATTGCACTTACAAAGGAAATCCGTCGGGCGAAACTGAATATATGAATATTCCCCCCCAGTCGTCGTGCTAGTTACGCCAATATTGTCAATACTTCTAGAAATATTATGTGTTGTAATGTATCGTTTAGAATCGGTACTATTTGAAAAACTACCCTATGTACTTCCGTTCAAAAGGGAATTGGGTAGGCCAGATTTACATTAAATCCTAAGAATCGGGGATATATTGTACTAGGAAATACTTGCATATATCATGCAGTAACCCTCGCCATTTCAGACCAAGCAATTAATACTTTCCTGAGCTAGTCAGACAGAAGCTTATAATTTATTATGAAATTAAAATGTAACCTGCTTAATTCCGTATGTAAACAAACGGTTTGTTTACATTTTGAACTTCACTATTTTTTAAAATAGGATCTGCTGTCTGAATATTTAAAACTATTTAGGTTCAATACGCTTCTAAATTAATCAGAACTAGAGTTTATGTTAAGAAAAAATAAGAAACATGCGAAATTTAGGCAATTTTCAGAGGGCCCTCATTTATTATGAGCACAACCTATGCGCAGAACAAAATTGACTTCCACTTTAATCGATGAGTCGGTAGATGGAAAAAGTGTACAAAATCTTCAAGGACTATAAACGTCAAAATGTAATTTCTCAGAATTTCAATCAGCAGTTGCAATCGACTATAAAATTTTTCTGTGGAGATGTTTGCTCTTGTTAGTTAAGCCCCTGGCTCCAAGTTGAAGCATGGGCCATCACGCCATGGGCCAAAACGCTTTTATTACTCCGACGTCAGCGACGGAGTTGAAAATTCACCTCAGTTTTGTTTTCTATTGGTTTTTTTTTAATTTTTAATTTTATTTTTCGTTGTTGCAAGTCTGTAATGGCGCAAAATATACTAGTATTTAAAGTGTGTATTGGACCATATTTATATACGTCCCAGTCTTGTCTACGAAGAGTTGTGGTGCACAGCTTTTGCTAATTCTCCGATGCGCGATTCGATTCGCTCGCATGATACGGCAATTTCCCAAGAGAAACAAATAAACCGTTTTTTCATGCTGTTCGATTAAGTTTAGATTAAATTGGGGTAAGAATAATATCGCTGCTATTTCGCCGTTTAACAAGATGATGTGATCGTGTATGAGCGCGTTGACACGTCGTAGTTTGCACAGGATTGAAGATTTAATATAACTATATAAGCGCGTATTCCAAAGGCAAAGTGTAAAACAAAGCGAATATATCATGCGGTTTATTTACATTTTTGAACAATTGAACTTCCATACTTTTTAAAGTACGATGTCCTTTTGAATTTCGCGATCGAACATTTATAGGTTCGCAAATCGCAAGGCATCTAAATGCGAATATGAACTGTATTGTTTATGTTCAGAAGCTTTATATTGAAGACTGGCACGTGCGCCTGAGTTAACGCCAGAACAGGCGTCTTGTTGTGTATAGAATTTATAAAGCGTATTCACAAAAAAGTTTCCGGAAATGACAGTTTGTCTTACCATTTTGTGTTAGCTAACAAGGAGTTGATAATTACCATTCTTAACTCGTTCAAATGATTCGCATGCGCACACAGGGCCGTAGCTAGACCGCTTAATTGGGAGGTGTATATATATGTATTTATATGTATTTATGTTAATCTACCGCAGGAACAATAGCGTACAAAAGAAATCAGTCGGGCATAAGATAAATTTATGAATATACACCCCTCCCCCTAATTATGCCCCTAGCTACGCGCCCTGTTGCGCACAAGGTCTTTTGATCATTAAAACGTCCACAGTCCATGACATGGAATTTGGGAACGTTGGAAATATACCACATATTGTGCATACCTTAGGTACAACATACCTTACATACCGTGCTGTCACATACTTTACTCGAGTGTAATTCCTAATCTCCGGGGGGATTAGTACCTTCGCAATGCGCTCTGCGCCCGCTCGAGCATTATCTAAAAACAAGTTTAAACCAGTCCTAAATGTGCAAAGGTTGGTGAATTAGTGAACAAGGGCTAATTGTCGAAAAACTATACGCGTTTATTACCAATGATAAGTGAGGTGCACTGCCAGCTATCAGTGAATGTCTTTAATATATGGGAAAGTTTTTACATAAGATAAAAAAGCTCTTTACTGCTCTGAGACTAATTGTGACAACTCACGATCCTTCGTGTTTGTACTAATACTACTCATTTCATCACTTCGTTTTCGCCGAGCACACTGGCCGCGATAGGGGGTTCGTATGGGCATTTCTTCTTCTCCCGCCCCAAATTTATGCTCTGCCCCCAGTTTCCAACTTTGGCCTCGTTTTCACGTTATATGAGCAATTTATAGTCTTTATTAAGGATTTTCTTTACTTATATAATAAGAGCTTCCCCCACAGAATAATTTCTGTCCTCCATATCCCGCTTCCTTTATTAAAGAAATTAGGCTTATCAGTGCAGTTATAAATAAAAACATAGCTAAGTGAATCAGCCTGCACATACAGCATATTAGTATTTATATTATACTGCATTTGATATTAAATACTTGTACCTATAAGCTAATTTATGATAATTTTATACCGTGATACTACGAAGCAAAATTACAAGAATATAACTTTTGAATGTTTTCAATTATTCCCTGCAGTTGAAAGGTCTTTAATATCACAAGTTCCGTCGTACAGAGCCAGGTTCACAGGTTCGTACAGTAGCTAATTCTTTTAAGAGCAATTGTTTCAGATTGGTCTTTATAGAATATAAATTATATCCTTTTAGGCAATTTTCATACGACTCTCTTCACAATTGTAAAAAACATTTAAAGCCCTTACTCTTATACCATACCAAAAAAAAGTCTCGTGAAACTATATTAGACCTAGAGTTAAGAAAACACTTCACTGCATGTATTGAACACAATATAATACTCATTCTAATTTACTACTTTTATTCATGCTTCGTCAACTAAGGTGCCCGGAATAATTATGGAACACACTTCATCATTGGATTTACAGCCCAATATACAAATAACCGAAATGATTACATTCGAGTGTATATTGCTGCCCTTGACGAAACAAATGTGACGATGTATAGCGAACAGACTGGACAGCGTTGGAGTTACACTGTTGGTATAAAAAATGGAGGCATCTTTGAGCTTAAACTACCGATTTCTTTGCGATTGAAGAAAGACGAACTTCGTCAGAAAAGTATTGAGATTTTGTCAACGGGAAATATTTCAGTGTTGTGCTTAAATTTTGGTGGTTTCTCGTCCCAAGTGGGTAGCAACATGGCTCTACCATCGATCACTTTCGGCTTAGTTTACGTTGTGGCATCATTTCAGCCATACAACGCATTTTGTCGAGCGAATATTGCTGTATTATCAGCGCATAACAACAACAAGATCATAATTCTTCCAAATAAAAATGCGATTATATACTATCGCGGTAACTCGTACGAAGGAAAAACATCACAGATACACTTAACCGAAGTCCTTGAAAAAAACGAAGCGCTTTACTTCTCGGCGAAATCAGATTTAACCGGAACACTCGTTTTTGCAAGCAAACCGGTTACTGTGATTTCTAGCGTAGATCGTACTGAAAAAACATTGGGATCCGCATATACTGCTTTCTTTGAAGCAACGTTGTTGCCTGTTTCGTTGTGGGGATTTGAATACATCTTGGCAGCAGTGGGAACGTTGAACAAATTACAGGGGGATATTTTCCGTATCTCTAGCTTTGAAAGTAACACTGAGGTTAAAAGTGCATACTGGACAAGAGTTTTGTCATCAGGGGCGTACGTAGAGTTGATATTAGACAGGGACCTGGCATCTTATATCAAATGCAATAAGCCTTGTCAAGTTGTGCAATATATCAGAGGCGGGGTGATTAATGGGAAACATGCAGGGCCTTCGATGTTAATTCTTCCTTCAGTGACACAATTTCTCTCGTATTACCACGTGGCACTTCCTCGAAGAGCGGGTTTTAATGATTCATTGACAATAATTATTGAGAAGGAAAATATGGATGGTTTATATAGGGATGGATTGAAATTGGATGGCTTACGATGGAAAAGCATCAGTGGGACAAAATATGTTTGGACGATAATAGATGTATTTAATGTCAGCACTGTCACCGTATATCATACATCTTCCTTAGTAAAATTTGGTCTTCTTGTATATGGATGGAATAATGGAGCTTCCTATGCGTACCCTGGTGGTTTTGATTTTAATAATAGCTCAAATGGTAAGTCACAAGTTATTTCTTTATACGATAAAAATGTGAATTTTATGGCATGTATCTTGCACACGTCCTAAAAATTCGTCGAATCGCTGAAAAGTGGTACCGGTGTCAAAGAGTGGAATTTAAAGAGTGAAATAAAAATATATTGCTAAATTAAATTTTCACAAAATCTTTTTCTAAGCAATTGCATGGAATTATTTTAGGAATTTTGGTTTCCAGTGGTTTTTAAGGAGGTTCCATACCCTTTACAAGCATAGAGGACTAGGTCCGAGGATTAAACATCGCGCGCTATTCATTTACGAGCTAAGAAGCTCGAACGCCTAAAAGCGCGCCTTTGGTAACATGCGCCGGCGCTGCTTACGAATGCACACGCATGGCAATTAATCCCCGAGCGGGCGCGGAGCGCCTGCGAGGGTACTAATTCCGCTCGGAGATTAGGAATTACACCCGGAACCCGGTAGAACATAGCCGAATCCAAAGTTGTCCAAATCTTTGTCATGGACGGTCGACGTTGGGTGGTTTTGTAAGTTATGCGCATGCGCGAGTAACATCTGGTAATCAACGAACGTTCTGATTGGCTAAGACAGAAAGTTTGTATTTCAATGAGAACGTCAGCAATTTATATTAACTGTCATTTCGTAAACATTTTTGTAAAAGCGTTTCATAAACTTTGTGCAAAGAAAGTAAAACGAGAAGAAACAAGATATACGAAGCATGACAGTGTGCAGTTAGCAAAGATGAACGTGGATACTGTCAAGACAAAGCTGTGTAAGAGGAATAATTCATAATCTGCAAACTTATAAATGTTTTCAAAGACAAAGGGTACGTGTTTACTTTGTTTATTTCGTATTTGTTTCGCGATAAGAATGAGCCGTATTTGTATACTTTTCGGCTTTGTATGCCGTTTATTTGTTAAATTTTCAGCTTTTTATGCAAACGCATAAACCTGTGAAAGGCTATTACACCTTTGCTTTAACTTCAAAAAGTGTTTTTGAAAGTGTAATTTGAATTTTGGTATCAAAAATACACACTATATTTTATATAAAGTATAAAACTTTTAGCCGCCGGCGTCGACTGCCATTACAGAATAAAATAACATTTGAAGTTTTTTCTTTGTCTGTGAAGATTTTGTACTGTTTTAATCGTTTGAAACTTCGATTTTAAACCGTTTCTTAATTGCTGGCATGGTATAATGAAGCAAAATTGAACGGGCAATATTTACACTAGCTTTATGATTATTTTTGTATTGAATGATGGAAACATTAGCTATAGTATACTCGGTAAAATATAATAGGACTGATTTGAGTTTTGTGTCATTTCATAATATAAGTTTAGGTCAGGTTAACTCAGGAAATTGTGTACTTGGTTTGAAATAGCGAGGGGTTGCTGCATGCATGTATTTCTAGTTGATTATATTTTGCAAGGGTTGAAAACTCTTGGCCGTGCTATTGGCGAGCATTCTATGAAAATTTGCAAAATAACAATATATCTTTAAACCAATAGAGTATTAAAACTTAAAAAATCTGAAGACCATGAAAACAATATAATGTAAAATTAAAGAATATCACAAAATTTTCTGTGAAACACTTGGTAAATAAATACTTAAAAATGATAGTAATAATTAGGTGTTTATACCGGGAAACTGTATGGAGCTTCCTTCAAAGCGTAAATTGACTTTCTGTTACGATTGATATCAGTAGAAATACTACCCTATAGCTTATCAGCAGTGTATCGAAAGCTTTTTAAAGAAGTTATTATATATTATTTAGAAGTTATGCTAGTGTAGCTCAGAGCTTTCGTCAAGGTGACAAAAAAGAAATGATGTCAATGCAGATTTGCACGAAACTCTTTAAAAAGCTCGCCAACACGATGGAATACATCAATTTAGTAGAGTGATTTCTATAGCCATTATATTCCTTTAGACACTGATATAAATTAATGAACTCAAAACTGCATCGCGTGAGCCCACACACACCTCACCCCTTGCGCCTGCATTTATGGCCATGTTTAATAGTTTTCGAGTGCGTTTTGTTTCTTTAAGGCAATCGGCCAGGCCAGAACCTCCTTTTTCAATCATTGTTAAATATTATTTACAGCGAGTAAAATGGCCGTCAAGTTTGGCGTAGCAAGCACGGTAATTGGGAGGGTCCATATTAATATTTTTCATGTTGCATAATTAATATATTTTCAAATCGATTATCTACAGTCTGTTAATATGAATATATGAATGTGTACCCCCAATTATCGAAGCCGGTTACGTCACTGTCTAATACAATGGTGAGGTTACATGGGTGTGTTTTTAAAGAAAAAATGGAATAAGAGTAAAAACTTTCACTTGCAGAATTGCAAATTCATGGATGATTGCGTGGGCGTGGAAGGCATTTTAATTTTCGATTCACTATTTCAGCAAGAGTGAGCTCTCCATATTATTATACAGTTATTATACAGGGTGTATCAAAAAAATGTCCCAAATGTAAAATTTTCGTTTTTTCAGGATATTTTGCAGATTTTGGCAAATTTTTGTGTTCCTAGAGATAGTTAAGACTTATTTGGTATACCTAGGCCAAGTTTGGTTTTTCATAAACAAAATTATGTTACCGGGGGGGGGGTTCCTTTCCACTGATATTGAGAGGGCTTGCGCGCGAAAATGTGAAGCTGAAATTGAGATATTATTTAGCTGTCTAAAAGTAGGGAAATATCCTGAAAAACGAAAATTTTACATTTAGGACATTTTTTTTATACACCCTGTGTAAAATTGTCCAAGTCTTTATACCCACTTTGGAAAATTAATATTAACAACGCGCAGTGCGCGAAGAAAAAAGTGAAACCTTATTATTTGCAAACGCCTGATTTCCGGCAGACAAATTATTATATTTCCAATACCTTTCTCTAGATGGAAAGTCATCAAAGGCTTTGTTACAAATTCCGTCGTACAAATCTAGGATGATAGGTAAATATAAAAATGATTATTCTTTCTTCAATTTAGTCCATAACTGAAGTTTATTCAAAGTAACTGAAGTTTTTCACTAATTTAAGTAAGATCTTTCTAGCTGTAATGATTTATTTTCTTCTAGTTACTTCGATCAAAAATTAGTCTAAAGCGCTAGTCGTCCATTTAGAGGTTGAATTTATTCTGTATTCCGTAAAAGAAGAAAAAAATTTTATTTTGCCCTTATGGCGTAATAATGGTGCACTGGAATGAATGTTGGCTCAGCAATGCTCAAGTTTAGAAGCACTTTTCGTGGTCTTTCAACTTTCTTCCAACTTGCTTTAAACATACTTAGCTTGAGGTGTGGAACGTATAAAAGACGATATGAGTCATATGACCATTTTATGGACGTGTCATTACTCTTAATTTTAATTTTGATCATTTTAATCATGGAAGGAAGGAGGAAGCATTAAAACGGGAATGATCACTTTCTTTTTAAATCAATTGTTTTTCAGTGTATTTACGTTAATACCATGATCACTATAGGCTTCGTGAATAATCGATTTTCCTTACAGCAGTGTAAAAATATGTATTTTCTCTTTGCCAAGGTACTCAGGGAAATTATGGAAGACATTTCATCGTTGGATTTACCTCCCAATATGCAACTGGTCAAAAAAATTACATTGAAGTATCTATTCTTGCACAAAATGAAACGAATGTGAGAATTTATAGTAATCAAACAGACAGGCTATTGAGTTTGACTGAAAATATTAGAAATGCAGGAATTTTTCGGATGAAACTGCCTAATTCTATTCGATGGAAACGAGGATGGCTTCAGAAAGGTATCGAAATTCTTTCATCGGCAGATATTTCAGTGTTGTGCTTAAATGTCGGTGGCAGTTCTTACAAAACGGATGGAAACTTGGCCTTGCCCACAAACACTCAGGGTTTAGTTCATGTTATAGCATCATACTGGCCGCATTTTAAGAATTTGAGAGCAAATATAGCCGTAATATCAGCACATAATAACAACAAGGTCATTATTCTTCCCAACCGAAATGCAATTATAAACTATCGAGGTAACTGGTATGATAGCAAATCATCACAAATACAAATAACCCAAGTACTCCAGAAACTTGACACGCTATATGTCTCAGGTATATCAGATTTATCTGGAACACTCGTCATTGCAAGCAAACCAGTCACTGTGATATCTGGCGTAGAACAGGCTAAAATTGGGAAATGGTATAATTTCATGGAAGGAACCTTGTTGCCTGTTTCATTGTGGGGATATGAATATATTTTAACAACAGTTGCAACCATGGAAAAATCGCAGGGAGATGTTTTTCGAGTCTTTGCCTACGAAAATGATACTGTTGTTCAAAGTGCATACTGGACAAAAGTTTTATCATCTGGGACATATGAAAACGTATCATTAAATAAAGATTTGGCGTCATATGTTAAGTGTAATAAGCCTTGCCAAGTTGTGCAGTATATCCGAGGCGGAACAATTAATGGAAAATATGCAATACCTTCGATGTTAGTTCTTCCATCAGTAAGTCAGTTTCTTTCTTATTATCACGTGCCAGTACCAAAAGGTGAAGAATATCATCATGATTCAATCACAATAGTTATAGAGAAAGGAAACGTCGATGGTTTATATTGGGATGGATTGAAATTTAAAAGCTTAAGATGGAAGACTGTCACGGGAACAAATTATGTTTGGACGGTGATAGATATACTAGATCCAAACATCATAACAGTGTATCATGCTTCTTCCTCTGTAAAGTTTGGTCTCCTTATATATGGGTGGAAAGATAGGGCTTCATACAGTTATCCTGGTGGCTTTAGCTTACATAATAAATCAAATGGTAAGTTACCTGTTTTTGCCTTTCTGAAAAATTATATATTATACTGATAAAAAATTGTTGATTTGCTGTTCGCTCCACTTTTAAGACATGGGTTCTGTACTTGTTTGATACTTGGGTACTGTGATCGACGCGGAGAAAGGCATGCAACTTTTTGCATTTGTCCAGAAAATCTAGCCGTCCGTCTGACTCTCTCCCCCGTTATAATAAACATTCAATATTTTTTAATTTATTCGAATTGGCAAAGAGAAAAATTTTTTATTTGCGATGTTTTCAATATTTTGTTCAGATATAAGTTCAATGTTGTCTGCAGTTCCATCGTACAAGTCCAGGATAGTAGGTAAGTTATAGCTAAATACTCAACTAAAGTCGACTTAAGTGCTTCAAATTATATTACTTCTTTTACTTGAAAAGAACGATATTAGAAATAATAGATAAAAATACGTAGCGAAATATTGATAAAAAAGGTCGTTTCAAGAGAAGAATTTTATGAAATATTGTACGGATCTCATATGCGCCCGAGCTTTGAATTTTCCACAGAATCCTCTGAGATGTACTGAATTCTGTCTAACACGATGACGATTCACATGCGCGCATACATGCACAGTAAATTCGCAACATAATAAGTTACACGAAGTAGCTTCTGGTATTTCATTTATATTCCTTTAGGTACCAATTATGGGAAGCATTTCATCATTGGGTTTACACCTCAATCTTCTAATCGACAAAACGACTACATAGGAGTGTCTATTCTTGCTTTTGATGAAACAAATGTAAAGATGAATAGTGAACAGACTGGACAGGCATGGAGTTATACCGTAAATATTAAAAATGGAACAGTTTTTGAGTTACAACTGCCGACTGCTTTGCGAATGCAAAAGGATAAAGGATTTCTTCAAAAGGGTATTGAGATTTTGTCAACAGGAAATATTTCAGTTGTTAGTTTCAATTTTGCTGGTAACATTTTCCAAGTGGATGGAAACCTGGCATTACCGTCTAGCTCTCTCGGACCGGGTTTAGTTTATATTGTAGCATCATATCAGCCGTATAGCTCGAATTTTAGAGCAAGTATTGCTATAATATCAGCAGAAAACAACAATAGAATTACAGTTCTTCCTAACAAGAATGCGAAAATATACTACCGCGGTATCTGGTATAGTGTCAAAACATCTCAAACTCAAATATTCCAAGTCCTTGCAAAACGTGACGCGCTATATGTTTGGGGTAAATCAGATTTATCTGGAACTGTCGTTACGGCGGACAAACCAGTTACTGTAATATCTGCCGTAGATCGTACTGATAAAACACTGGGATTCAATAGCTTCCTGGAAGCGAACTTGCTTCCAGTCTCGTTGTGGGGATATAGATACATCTTCACCGCAGTAAGAACAATGGAAAGGACACAGGGAGATATCTTTCGAATCTTTGTTTTCTATAACAATACCGTTGTTAAAAGTGCATACTGGACAAAAGTTTTGTCTTCTGGAATGTATGAAAACTTGACACTAGGGAGGGATTTGGCGTCATATGTTAAGTGTAATAAGCCATGTCAAGTTGTGCAATATATCCGAGGCGAATCAAAATATTTGACATTCAGGGGATCTTCAATGATAATTCTTCCATCAGTAAGCCAGTTTCTATCGTTTTATTACGTGGCACTCGCTCGTGGTGCGGAATATTCCCATTCAATAACAATAGTCATAGAGAAAGAAAATGTCGATGGGTTGTATAGAGATGGTTTGAAATTGAATGGACTACAATGGAAAACTATCACTGGTACAAGATACGTTTGGTCGGTAATCAGTTTACCCGATCCAAGCAATGTTAAAGTGTATCATACTTCTTCTGTTGTTAAGTTTGGTCTTTTTGTATTTGGATGGAATGATAAAGCTTCATTCGGTTATCCAGGTGGATTTGGTTTACATGTTGACAAACCTCAAGGTGAGTTACTGCTCATTGCTTTTCAAAACAAAGGATCATATTTTAGCAAGAAATTGGGAACATTCACACATCATAGAAATTCCCTTCCGGGCTTTACGACCCATATAAATCAGTCATGCTGATGTGATATGCCTCTGAACGTTAGTGCATGCAGAGAGTACCACCGGCATCCCAAAGACGAAGGTTCGAAGATTACTCCTCCTGGCTTCAATTTGGGATGTCATTGTATATGATTTCAATTCGAAATCGAGACGCTCTATATAATCCTTATGATTGCAATTGTTTACAATAGATTCTCGTATTTTTCTTGTATTTTCAGGACCGAGTAAACCTCGAAATGTTACAGTTACTGTCAGCGAGTGCAAATTAATTGTTAAATGGTTGGTTCCCGCTGATTTTCAAGGTGATATCAGTCACTATTTTATATCTTGGGGGAAAAATGGTGAAAGCGATACTTTTCAAACAGTAAAGACATCGGAAAGTCCATTTATTATCAACGATTTTTGTAGTAAGTATATCATAACTATCATAATTCTGTTGACTTTTTAGTTCAACGGGTTTGCAATCTCTTAATTTTCTACATAAAAAACAGGCAATAGTTTTCGTTTCGGATTTTACTCTCATTGTAATTACAAATTCCAAATAACTTTATAAAAACGCTATATTGCTAAGTTAAAGTTTATTCTATTCTAAAAAATATTTTACAGAAAAATCTAGCAATATGATCGCAAGTTAGAGCTGTTGTATAATATATTTTGATTTACCCTGGATCCCTCACTGTCAACGATTTATTCGGTTGACATTACACACACAAACACTATATTTATATTAAAATTCATGCAGCAGCATGGTGTTTTAATATTCGTCTAATGCCGATTCTAATCACTAAATATTTTGTATTTCCAATATGGCTATCGGCTCTTTAAGTCCTAGTTAACGCCCAAAAAACAAGTTTCATAACTTGTGAGGAAACAAGTTGGAAAACAAGTTATGAAACTAGTTAGAAAAAACATATGAAACAAGTTAGGATATTTCAAAGGTGCGGACGGTATTATGTCTTGTCAAGGTGGCCGTTTTTGGCAATCTGCAACCTAACAATATTTACATGATTTTTTTTTGTTTTCCAACAGTTTTATGCAAATCAGCGCTGGGTGGGTGGTTTCGAAAAGCTTTGAAAGTGTTTAAAGTATTTAACATAAGTTACCCTTTGAGCTTTGGCTTTTAGGTTGTACTGTTTCCGGCAGCGAACGTTGCAAGATCACGCAATGTCTCGTTGGATTCTGCAGTAAAACAAATGAGATTGGAAGAATTTGTAACAGTCCGCAATTCTATACATATCCCATAGCTTGTTCAAAGCTCAGAAAAATATTTTTCAGTACGGTCCTCATAACCAGAAATATTAAAAGGACTCAGCATGCACTATAAATGCAAATTAACGTAATATTTTTTTGAATAAGAGACACGGAAGCGAAAACATTCACAAATGTTAGAAGGACTTTTGACCTCTGTCTGCTGTATATTAATGGGCGGGAAATTCTGTTTTTTTCCAATTTATAGACGAATCAGGCACATACACTATAAAAGTCCAGGCGGTGAATGACATGAATGTTGTTGGTGAAATCGCTTATGTATACAACGTGAGCATAGATGGTAGTCACAATGTGGTATCTTCGGTATCTTCGATTTTTATAACACCTAGTAGTATTACGGAGAGGCAGTCTTCTTATGTGACTGCTAATACTTACAAAGTGACAAAACCTAGTAATCCAACAGTAATAGTTACTTCCAATAAAGATATCCCAACAGGTGTAATTGCTGGAGGAGTAATTGGAGCTGTTGTATTCCTTTGCCTTGCTGTGTTTACCTGTGTTTTCTTGATACGAATAATACGGAAGTATCGGCGAATGGAATCAAGAGAAGTACGTCTATCTTCTTCATGTAGTTCAGTAGTTCACATATGATTTAAGTAATCTCATTTTATCACCCTTTAGTATAGAGTTGCAGAATATATCATGACAGAGACTTAACAAAAATAATGCAAAATAAATGTAGTAAATAAGACATGTACACTATACATAGCTTGATTTTTTAACTGATTTACTGCTGAAACACACAATACCTAAAGCAATCAATTTTATTACATTATCAACATTGAGTGGATATATCACAATCATTACCACTATTCAAATATTGTATCCTCGCGCAATTCATAAAACAATTTTATGATAAATAAATAATAAATTGATTTAAGAAACGGCAACAATTGCCGTGATCTGAAAACAGAGGAAAACCACTCAATTATTATTCTTAGTAGAATATTTCTTCTATTAGCTTTAATTGAAAATTTAGGCAGCATAATATAGGTGTACTGTAAGCCTTCGTGCCATTTTTTAATATTTATTCATTTTTATGTTGTTGGTAGGATGCCTATTGGTTAAATTAAATTACTAGATAAAGGGAAGAAAAATTTCTATTGATTTTTTTCTTCTTGTAGAAATTCGCAGAATGGCACCCGTCAAGTCTTGATAAAATGGCGAACACTTCGGTTGCCGGAAACAAACCGCTATTGCAAGAAACAAACCCGATATTGCAAGAAACAAACGGTGAGTATTCGTTGTCATAAGCAGACAGGCACGGATCAGAATACTATTTAACTGCTTGTATAGAGTTGTTTTAAAGTCAAAAGGAGCAAATGTTTCAGTGCTGGCAGAGAAAAATGGTGCGTATATACACCGCATTCCTTCTAACGGTAAAGGTGAGGTATAGTGCCCTCATTACTGATAGTGCATACATCTCAAGCGCCAAAGTATCTATTACGAGACGATATACTGGATGACTGCTGACCCATTACCAAAAAATAGTGATATGCACACAAAAGACTGCCGATGGTTATATAAATTATATTATACAGCTATCTCAGTTGTATTTCATTCACCCATTACGGTCTTCAAATAACTGCCCCAAACCTAAATCGCTCCCACCCTAAAATCTCGGCACTGTTTTAACGAGCTCTTGATCGATATTGAGTATTTTGGTACCATACATAACATAATATAAAATGTTATAAAACATAACACCCATAACCACGCAAATCCGCATGACAAAGAAGAAATAACCAAAATTTCATATTTGTTTTTTATAGAAGCACTGCCGCTAGAAATATCGTACGTTTCAATATTGAAAGACTGGCAGATCTCACCAAGCTGCCTGAAGATACTGTCCAAATCGCTTGGAAGTGGACACTTCGGCATTGTGAGACAAGGTCTATATACGCCTTCTGCAGGCAGTGCTCCCGAATATGTTGCTGTGAAAATGATGAAAGGTAAATGAGTCAAGTAATGGTTCATTTTCATGTATTACACGAAAGAAATAGTTCATATGGCTTAATTGTAATTTATAGATTATGCGCTTAATGTACATGCATGGAAAGTCTCGCCTAAAAGTTTTTATTGATCTTCAAATTATAAGTGTCAAACTGGTTGAAATAGAGCTATTACATCATGACCTTCATCTATATATATATATATATATATATATATATATATAATTATATATATATATATATATATAATTAGATACTTATTTTGCTATTTTTTTGAAAAGTGAAAAATCGAGTAAGATTTTGACAAAAGCACCTTTTACACTACTGTCAAATTTGACACTCGCACAAACAATTTTATTAGAACCCAGACTGCCTGATTTATTTCATACTACAAAACTTACGCCATTATTATATTCTCTTCCTGAACATGTACTTATATTTGTCATGCTTTGTTATATAATTATTCAAAGATGTATATTTTTGAAAACATTCAGGACACATTATTAGCCTGATTATAGTTTTCTTGCTAACCCAGTTTTAACGTTGTTTGAATCAGCGTATATATGTGTGCATGTTGATGGGTACTGTTTAACAGTCTAAGATGTCAGTAAATTTTCTTGTTTCAGTCACAACTCAGTAAATTGAATTTTTTTTCTATTTAAAAAATTTGCCGGTGTAATCTCAAGTTTTAATTGTCTTTAATTCTGAATTTCCACCTAAATTCAGATATTGCCACGGAATCAAACAAATTAGATTTTTTGGCTGAGTTGAAAATGTTGAAAGAAAGTAACAAAGAACCGCACGAAAACGTCCTAAAATTTATTGGTGGCTGTTTGAAAGAAGGTATGTGCATCCATGTATAACGTATGCTAGCGTGTACTAAAGTTGACAGGGAGTTGTAGCAGCAATTAAGTATGATCAGAATTAATATAGAAGCACTTTATAAATTATAAAAAAACACGAAATTGACGTCCGAGTACATTTTTAGATAATTATGCTCTTACAATATTTATTTGAGGCGGTATAAAGCATTCAAAAACGTTACTGGAACAACAAAGGGAAATTTCTTTTATACCATTCAGCAAGTTTGTTTATATTTTAAATGCATAAATTTTAATAAAAGTGCAATATAATTATACCATTTTACATGAAGTACTTAAAATTTAGTTATTTTGATTGGCTTTGTCTAAAAAATGTAAACAAATAGGACGATGAGTTGAAAACGAAATTCCTCCTTGTTGAGTGGAACTTTAAATTCGCGTTTTGTGAGGCAATAAAATTAATACTCGAGCAGAGCTATAGTACAGAGTATTTTTCAATTAAGGAAAACAAATGTTGGTAACAGAATACTGCTCGGCTGGAAATATGCATGAGTTTCTAAGGAAAAGCAGAGTCGCTGATAAATCTGATATATCTCAGATGCAGAATCTCAAGATACATTCAACTTTAAGCGAACGCCAATTGCTTAAATTTGCGGTTGAAGTGTCAAGTGGGATGGCGCATCTTGCAAAACAGAAGGTATATTGTAGTATAAAATAATTAAGGAAATAATACATATTATGCCTGCATACATGAAAAATGTTTTATTTTCTGAAAAAAAAGTATATTCAAAACATTTTAAGCTTGTTCATCGTGACTTGGCTGCCAGGAACGTTCTTCTTGCTGGTGAAGGTAACGTGGTAAAAATTGGTGACTTTGGTTTGGCGAAAGATATCGGAAATGCTCAAGAATATATACGAAATAATCCTGAGGTATATTAAAAACCTTCTATTATATATTATTCTATTATGTAAGTATATGGAAATTATTATAAACATTAACGCAAACGCTGCCTCGTTCCATTCTGTTCGTGTATGTTTTGCTCCAAAGTTAATTAAAAAATAACTAATTTCAGAGCAGAATTTCGATCTTTCGGCTTACATGCAGATATAGCTCTTTAAACCGAAATTAATTTCATGCAGTAACTACATAACTAAAAGAACGATGACGATTACTCGGCCGCTATTTCGAAGCTAGATTGATTACTTATTGATATTACTCGAGATTATTTCGAGATTACTTCCTCGACCTGTGAAATATATCCCAGTCGTAGATTTTGTGCTTCTTAAACAAATTAATTTCCTTTTTTCAGAACAAGCTTTCAGTTTGAATTATGCAAAGATCACTGTTGCTCGTCCCGTTGAGAATAGGATATGCTTAAAATTTTTTCATGCTTTGCTGAAGCCAAAATTGTACTTGCATGGTTTGTATAACATTGGAAACTATTTTTAGGACTTTCTTCCAATAAAGTGGATGGCTGTGGAAAGTTTAGATAAAGGTCTCTTCACAACTGCCAGCGATGTGTAAGTTGACATTCAACGCTGCGATTCAGTTTTACCGTTAGAAAACAAGCTTATTTTAATTAATTCATCCCGTTTTTCTGTTTACCTGTGTTTTCTCCTTGCCATCAGCTAATGTGTTATGTTTAAAATAATTATTTGCCGAAGGCGAAGTAGCGAAGTTCTGTAAATGAGTATTGCTGAGAAAAAGTCGACGTTCGTCGGAGCCTGCATGAGGCAGATAAATGTTTTGGAAAATTTGGAAAAAAGGGGATGGCATTATGTTGAAAAGAACCTAATTAGAAAATACACTTTTTGCTATGAATACACTTTTCGCTATGAATAGCCGCCTCGATGTACTCATGTATGAATATACCAATAATAAAATTTTTGTTTTATCAGATGGAGTTTTGGCATTCTTCTCTATGAAATTGTGACCTTGGGTAAGGAGCTATCTAGGCATAAAACTTAAAGGCAATACAACGGAATTTCAAAATAATTATTTAGGAAGAGTGGTGATTTTATAATTAAGGAGATAAATGATTTTGCCCAAACCGGAGTTAATTGAGTCGAAATTATCCTCTCATGCAATGCGTTTTTCCAAACGCCCTCATAATACAAGAGAAAAAAGATACAAAGTATAAAGCTTTAAAAACGGCCAAATATTTTTGTGTTTCTTCTATTATAAACATGTTTCTTAGCTAATCTCACGAGAGAAAATATTTTCCTAGTGCCTGGCGTCTAGGGGGAACATCCTTAGATTTAGAGTTTTCCTGCTTTCTAAACATGAACATGCTCTATAAATTTACTTCAATTTTAAGGTAAGGAACCGTACAAAGGCAAATCAGCGTTGGAAACTGTACTTTTTATTGGTCAAGGGAATCGATTGGAGAAACCATCCCACTGTTCTAATCAATTGTAAGTAAACGAATTACGAACAGTGGCGTACGGGTGACAATAATTGGGGGCGCACATATTCATATATTCATGTTAACAGACTTGTGAAGGAAATGGATTTGAAAAGAAATTAGTCTTGCACAACATGAATATCTGAATAAGTGCTTCCCCCCCCCTTAATATTAATGCTTACATATTATATAGGAACAATAACGTATAAAATAAATCTGTCCCGGATAGGACGGATACATGAAAAAACACCCAAAATTAAGCCTCCATCTACGGCCGTGAATGAATGAGATATAATGCATCAATGTGAATGGAATTTGAATTACAGTTTTTCCTCTTCCGTTTTTTTGGTCAATCTTCATCGACACCTGAGGAAAAAGACAAAAAGCTAAAAATTATAATATGTGTCTTTGGCAAATATTTATGAATATGTTATAGGATTTGTTTTAATATATCTACTTGATAATAATTATATAGAAATAGGTAAATCTTATTAATACAAAATTGCTATATAATTATTGGTATAATTAAAATTCTACTCACCTTTTTCTAAGCAAAATTCTATTCAACGCAGGTATGAGATAATGGCAAAATGTTGGAAGAATGATGCAAAAGAGCGACCAAAATTCTCAGAGATGTGGCAAAATTTACGAGATATGATGACTGATGAACAGGTACATATATGCACCTGCCTATACCAGTTTTTTTTATGACAGCGCAATTACTACGTATAGAGTGCATGAGGACAAAATACAAAGTCACGTTCGTATTCAGATTGTCACTTTAAGAAGGTGGGGATCTCTGTTGATATTCATAGTTATAGGAGGGGGGGAGTGGTAGTTGGCGCTTTTAAATTGAGCGTTTCCAATATTTCATAAATGATCAATAAAAAGTATAATTTTAAGATCCGTGTTCTTTTTTCTATTACTCATTGTAAGGAATATTTCCACTATGACCGCGATGACTTTTTTGCTTATCTTGGGTAATGATTCCCTGTTCGAAATACGAAAGTTAATAAACTCTACTCTAAAATGAAACTAAAAATCTATTCGCACCTAAGTAAGCGTGGCCGAAAGAAAATACGTAGGTTATTACTAAAATCCACAAAATCCGCAAACCTGTCAACACAGCTCGTAAGTAATTCAAATTGCAATCTGACCTTTCATGCTGCTTCATCGTTTTCCAATTTTTTATGTTTAGCAGTTTGTTTTAAAGAATTAATGTCATCTTTTTTATAGAAGTCGTATATCGATGTACAGCAAGAGATAGCGAAGAGTAATAAGTGATGGCCCTTTCAAGAAATATTTTCTACACCGGAAATAAAACAACTCATTTAATTTGTTAAATTTGTTAAAGTAATAACAATTAAGTAGAGAAACAAGGAATATGATATTAGGGTAAAACATAGTTTATTGGTAATTATAGTAATCTGACCAATCAAGCAGGAAAACCGATGTTAGTGTGACGTTAATTTTCTACTTTTTAACCATTAAGAAATTACATATTTGATCTATTTTTTCGCAATTTGGAATTGTTTGTTCAGTCATGATCATGCCACTAGCTAAAAGTTGCAGGTGTGAAAGATGAATATTGTATACCTTTTAGAAAATTTTACAATTTAAAGAATCGGTTTTCTCTTGAAAGTTAAAACAAATTATTAGCGGCCAAGTAGTAACTTCCTTTAAAAACTTTACGGATGTCATATGAACATTACTATATGAATATGTCAGCCACACTAATCAAAGGTGTAGTCATGCAGGTCACTCCTAGTCTGCTATTTACTATACTAACGAAACTTACAAACTATATACAAACTATATTGCATTATTGCAACCCTCGATCCAATGATCAACTCAATTACAAAGTATTGATGCTCAGTTTATTTTTCTATTACGCATTATAAGTAATATTTAGGCATGACCTCAATAGCTTCGTTGCTTATCTTAAGTTAAATTCTAGCCTATAAAATCTACTCGCATCTCCATGCTTACGAAAGCATGTTCGCAGGTTGTTCCGTTGCTCCTGTGATAATCGGCCAAATGTTTCCTCTTATATACTTACATTGACACCCAAAAAACCGCTAATGTCAATACTATAATCAAACCTGTCATTCTCGACTTTTTGTTAATTCGATCTATACTTGATTAACATAACGCATTTACAAACGCAAACTTTGACGACAAATATTCTAAAATTTCTCGGCCTCGGCAAATGCCAACTCCGCCGCATGGAAGGAGCACGCGAGCTCCTCAGATGCAACTCCAACAGGGATTGCCAAGACCGATTGGTCGATTACGAAAGAGAAAACTGCATCCTTGAAACCATTGCAATGGTCTTTCGATGTATTTATAAAAACACCTGCGCAGTGTTTCCTTTTAAATTTCTTCTGTTGTACGATGCAGATCCAGTGTATATGACAGGATAAATACTAAGACAGATTAAATTACAAGACTTCAAATGCTATTAGTTGTGGATTTTCAAAGTATAATATATTTCAATAAAAATCAACCAATCCGATGGCAAATTATGAGTGTTGTACAATATATTCTGCTCCTTCTCCCGGCCTACATTTCTAGAAGAGGTTATATGCAAATGCAAAACTAAATAAGAATTTTTAAGAATACTACTTCAATTCCTTATCTTATTTTTGTAAATTCAGAGAGAAAAATGGCAGGAGAGCAAAACATATCAACAAGCAATTTCAACATGACAACTGTTCGAAGCGATGTTCTTATCTTTTCTGTTGTTTTTAAATTTTTTGCGATGATTGTTGGGGTATTAGGCAATGGCACAGTTATAATATTTACAATTTTTTCAAGGAGGGAAAAGATAATCGCGTCATATTTCATTGGAAACTTAGCATTGGCGGACCTTCTCGTGTGCCTAACATTTTATCCAATATGGATCATCGAATTTATTCAGACAATATTGAACATCGACAGTGATCAGGACCTGTTTTGCAAGTTAAGTCGTTCTACCAGCTGGTCATTTCTGTTTGCTTCAGTGGCAATTACTTCTTGCTATCACAGTTGATCGCTATTTATACATCGTAAAACCTCTGAAATATCCCCTAATTGTTACACGTCAACGAGTGTTTCTTGTCATATTTGGGATTTGGTTCACCGTCTGTTGCAATTTCACAATATTTCTAGTCTACTTTAAGAACTCGAACATTGGATTAAGGAGTTTCTGTGACATATCTGCCAGCATTACGTGGCTTCTTAGCGCTTTTTTTGTCTATGTCCCTTTTGCATCAATATGCTTCCTCAATTTTCTTATCTTGGATGTTTCAAAGAAACAAAGAAAACGACTATTGATTGAAAAAGTTGCATTTCCAAACAATTCCATTGAGATGTCGATAAAACGACTAAACGCAATACATTATCTTCGCCTTAAATTCAAAACAGCAAATACATTCTGCATTGTGACGGCAGTTTTCGCTTTCTTTGTCTTTATCCCTGCCTTGATTGGGCTGCCAGTTGAGTTTTCTTGCAACAAATTGTGTCGCCAACTTTGGTATGTTGTTTTTCACTACGAGTTCTTTGGGATTAATTCAATCACGAATGCGTTCATCTACGGAATGAGACATATAAAGTTCAGGAAAGTCGCTGGCAACTACATTTTACGCCTATTGGGTTTGTAAAAAACAATGAAAATAGTGCAATCATCTACTCTTGTTTTCATGAAAATTAATGATACAATAATTTATACCAAATTTGACGGAACCCCGCGTAGCAGATGAAATCATGAAAGGGGATGCAAAGCTAATTTTGAGCTATTTGTCTTATTTTATAGTACTTGATCGAATTGAATTTCAATTTATAAACTCTACTCCATGCATGCAATGTAGTAATCTTTGGATCATCTCGATCGTTTTCAAGTTTCGTAGAGTCCTGTGTTGCTAAACTTTTATAGCTGTATTTTTGTTTTGGTAAACTCATATTAACAAAATGACACGCAATTTCGCGTTCACAGTACACCTGTGAGAAATGAAACATCTGCGCAGAATGAGTCTCTTGCACATATCAGCATAATTATATGGCGCCAGATCAAAGTGTTATAACTATTTTTAGCCCATGGGACTGCTCACTCCAAGGATTATGAAGCTCTACTTTTAAACTGTTTTTTAATGATTAGTTGTCTATTATTTCATTTTAGAGTCGTGTGTGGATATAATTATTATGTGAGTAGCGTTACTCGCAGCCGTACTGTAGGTCAATATGGGGATCTTAAGCATGTAGGACGGGACCACGACAACGGCAGCTATCAATACAATGGTTCATTGAAAATAAATGAATTATTAAACACCTATGGGACGTTTAGACGTGATCTATAATCATGTTCTGTTTACAACGGCAAAACGTCGTTTATTACGTGCAATGTGGAACGTTTGTATTTCAGGACGTAGTGAGTGCTAACATAAATTAGGCTCAACAGAATTTTCAGGACGTAGTGAGTGCTAACATAAATTAGGCTCAACAGAATTGTCCCTAAACGTAAACACAATGTTTTCAACGTCTTATATCTCATTAAATTGGTAAAGTTGATGATATAGCAGAACGCTTAACCATAACTTTAATTAATCTAGAGGAGAATACCAACCATGTCGTCGTCGCGTTGCCTTCCTACATGCTTAAGGTCCCTAATGTTTGTCAGCTACAGTAATTTAATACGACTAGCCTAAATTACAAACTATACGTTCGAATGATTCCATGCACGAAACTAACTGTCTCAAAACATTTTTCGGCTAAACCTTTTACATACTCATAATCTTGGTACGCTCAACCGAGCATTTGTATGATGGTTACTGCTTGTATTTGCTTTGTGATTTAGACTAAAAAACAGGAAAGCCTATGATAGTTGTGTTAATGTTATGCAGATTAAATTGACGTATGCTTATTATGGAGTAGCTTTACGTTCTTGAATCGCTTATTATATAATTATAAAGAAATTCACTACGTTACGCTACAACATGCGGTTGAAGTGGAAAACAGGCCTTACGATTGGTCTTAAAATTCACACTAATCATCATAATTATACTGAACGCTGGAGCTCGTTCGATATTGATTGAATGAGTGATCATAATAATACTGAGCTGAAAGCTTTAATAAATCACCTTTGATGTCTAGGTAAGGAAGCCGCCAGTTGTTTCTTTCTAATTAATTTTTAGGGAGGTTTATTACCGGCGTCCGAAGATCCAGGATATTTTTTACAGCAGATGCAATATCATTCGGAGTGAGATTTACACAATGTTGCATCACCTAAACGATTACCAAGTATTGCCCTCCCCCCAAACTTGCGGATATGGCACTGGAAAGCCAATATCAGAAATTTACTTGGAATATAAACATTTTCCCATACGAAGGCCATCATAGAAACATTCTTTCTCTGGAACATACATCTCGAGTTAATTGCCCCCTAGTTTTCAGTGGTTAAAGGTTGACAACATTAATAACGTTTTGGACGTCGACAAAAATGTCTTTTCAATTGTGGGTTTTAAATAGAAAGCAATTTGAATGATTCCCGACTCTTTTCTTGCAGAGGCGACGCCATATTGGATTCCTAAATTATAGCGCATGTTTTGTCCAATTATAGCCCAATGATGGCCTACATTTCCAGCGATGTTTCTCGACTTTGGCATGCATTGAATTCCGCGATAATTGCACCAATTTTGGCATTATTTTTTCTTGGGTGACACAAGTGTGCATTTCCAAAGTCTCATTCATAGGGGACAAAAAATATAACAAAACATAATTCACAAAAATAGCTTTTTAGGTCGGAGCAAGTAATGTTTTCACAACTATTTCTTCCCAGTTCTCAGTATAATATCAAAATATGCTGTAAAAATTATATTCCAATTATATCGGAAAATTAGCCAAAGCTGTGCAACACAACTCTTGTGAGACAAGACTGTGACGTAGATAAATACGGTCACATACACATTTCAAATACTAGTATATTTCGCGCCAGAACACACTTGCGACAACGAAAAAAAAATTAAAAAAAACAACCAAGGCAACGGTGTGGTGCAACTAAGGCATGGTGTAATTCTGTCTCGAACTGAGTCAATATCAAATCATTCGGAACTTTCTTATCATTATTATCATTTTAATTAGAACTGTGCAAACCGAAAAAGTTATTCAATATCACGGGGAAAGGTGTTTGACGATACCATAAAATTTTGGCCAAGTTTTCTCTCAGGAGTGTAAAAATAAACAAACAAAGTTAAACCCCTGATCGGTCGACTTGTATGACACCCAACATTTCACAATTCAGTTGGAATAATTGGACGAATAAAACGAGGTAATATTTGCGGGAAAATTTTACTACCATGTGATCATGCTGCTTCAATATGAAAAAAATAATCAGTAATTAGTTCTTCCCTGAATAGGGTTAATCTCTCAAGATGATTAACATTGTATTAAGAACGAGCATATTAACCAGCATATTAAGACATTAGTATCAAGCAAGCATTTCACACCTTATTCCGCTTACAAATATGTTGAGTGGATCAATATGAATAGCCCCATAATTTAGAAATATCGTCATTATTTTAAAGAATTTTGGTACACATAGATACTTAACATGTTTACAAGATCACCTATAGAATTGTTTCACACGGTGAAATGCGGGGGGGTACAAAAGGCAAATTTATTCATATGATGCAAGTTTGTGAAATGTTTTATCAGGCATTAAAGTCTCTAATTTCAATATGCAATGAAAGTTATGCGTCAATAATCATGCTAACACGAAAAGTTCCACTGGCTTCTTCGTCTTGTACACCAAGGATTCCAAGGACTTCAATAGATCAGCTGAAACATTTCTTGAAAAAGTTTTAAACGTCGAAAAGTTAATTGCCAAATTACCCATAGTGATTGGTAATCTGGGTAGATTTTTATGACTTTATGGCGGTGACTAGGTATTGCACTTACAAAAGAAATCCGTCGGGCGGAACTGAATATATGAATATTCCCCCCCAGTCATGGTTCTAGTTACGCCAATACTGTCAATACTTCTAGAAATATTATGTATTGTAATGTATCGTTTAGAATCGGTACTATTTGAAAAACTACCCTATGTAATTGGGTAGGCCAGACTTTTTAAAATACGATGTGCTGTCTGAATATTTAAAACTATTTAGGTTCAATACGCTCCTAAATTAATCAGAACTAGAGTTTATGTTAAGAAAAAATAAGAAACATGCGAAATTTAGGCAATTTTCAGAGGGCCCTCACTTATTATGAGCAGAACCTATGCCCAAAACAAAATTGACTTCCACTTTAATCAATGAGTCGGTGGATTGAAAAAGTGTACAAAATCTTCCAGGACTATAAACGTCAAATGTAATTCCTCAGAATTTCAATCAGTAGTTGCAATCGACTATAATTTTTTTCTGTGGAGACGTTTGCTCTTGCTAGTTAAGCCCCTGGCTCCATGTTGGATCATGGGCCATCAACAAAAAGCCTCCAAAGACGTCTCTTTTCTGCCAACTGCTGCGGCTCCTTCTAGTTCTTCCCGAGCACCTTTTTCCGTATCCCTCCTCCAGGTATTCTTGGCGCGGCCCTCTTTCGGTTCCCCTGCGGTGAAAGAAGGCTAATCAGCCACCGAGGGTCCGGGCCTTCTGGCTTTACCTCTGTCGCGTCATTCTCACGGAAGGAACTTCTCGCGCAAAGACATCTGTAAATGTGTTTCTATCTGTTGATGTTTCTGTAATCATTGCATATCCACCTGGCGGGTGATTGGCCTACCAAGCTTCACCAGAGCCCTGTTAGCCAGCTCTACCCGTTTTCGCCTCCCACGACGAGGACGTGGGGTTGGACGTATAGGACGTTGGCTCGAACCAAATCCAAATTTTAATTTCAAAACGCTTTTATTGTGTATAAAATTAATAAAGCGTATTCACAAAAAAGTTTCCGAAATGACAGTTTGTCTTACCATTTTGTGTTAGCCAACAAGGAGTTGATAATTACCATTCTTAACTCGTTCAAATGATTCGCATGCGCACACAAGGCCGAAGCTAGACCGCTTAATTGGGGGGGGAAGGTGTATATTCATATATTCATGTTAATCTACCGCAGGGACAATAGCGTTCAAAAGAAATCGGTCGGGCATAAGATAAATTTATGAATATACACCCCTCCCCCCAATTAAGCTTCTAGCTACGCCCCTGTGTGCACAAGTTCTTTTGATCATTAAACTTCCACAGTCCATGACATGGAATTTGGGACTAGACTTTGGAAATATACCACATATTGTGCATACCTTAGGTACATTAATACCTGTTTGCCAGTCATCCTGTGGACTAGAAAATTTTATGCCCCTCTGGGGACCTGTGTCAAGAAACATGAAATCATCATAACGGGGACGCGCCGTGTGTAAACAATGTGGGGACAGTAGTTTTCTAGTGTATTCACTGTGTGGACTTTTCAAGATTCGATGTAAACAATGTGGGGACTGAGCAGTGAGGTAGACCTTCATGGAGATATATTTTTATTGACAATAAAAACTTTAATTCTTAACATGCAGTGTCTTTTTACTGTCTATCACACATGCATTTTGTCGAGTAAACATGGTTCGTTTTAATATAGCTAAACTACCTAAATATTCCTTAATAACTCTTGATAACTTTCTCTTTTTTAAACTTAAATTTTTATAGCAAAACCTAACTTCACTCCTCTATGGCACCTAAATTGCATCTTTCCGTATTACTTTGCACCTAAAACGTTGAAGCAAGGGGCATGAACTGGTCTAAGCGGGTTTTTAAAAAGAGAAATAGAATAGCGGCATTTATTTAACCTAATCGGGTGCATTCCTTTGGTTGCGTGTGCATATTGTATTGCTGGCCATTTATAGAAGGCACAGCAATATTTCATGTTAAATTGTAAGGCGACCTTCGACAAAATTGGTGACTATAGATAATAAAGGCGGAAAATGATGCAGAGCTCTCAGAAGCCGTTTTTCATCAAAAATCAACCAATGAGAAGGCAGTTCCTCGTCAAGACTGCATACCCTTTTCTTTATTCCATATAACTCGGCACTGGAATAATTCTAAAATTCTGTGAAAAAAGGGTTCGTTTTTCTACCAATTGTAAATTGGAATTTTAATTTCAAGTCTGAGGTATGTTATGAGAACTTGCATGCCCTTGTTAAGGGTGAATTATAAATATGATATTGAGCATATCGCGATTTCTATTCAGGAAAACTACTTTGATAATGACTCGATCAATGATGAAGAAAATAACACGCGCAGGAAATCTTTACATATTTTGCTTCAATACGCAGAGCTCGGAAGCTTTCGTCCAATTGGATAATGCTTTTCTATGCTTTCTAAAGAACGAAGCTATGCTATTGGTTGAAACAGAAATGTATTGTAAAGTTTAGCCCATGAAAATCGTTCTTGCGAGGAGCTGCGACCCTACCCTATATTTGCTGAATCCCATCTGATATATGTATGTGCTGGTCATTTTTCAATAAATCCGACGGGAGAGTGGCCTGCTTGAAGACTGAAAGTTTATTTATGAGCATCACTTACCCATATTCCAATGACAAATGTATTCATTAGAGAATTGCAATTCGGATTTCGTCTTCCATAAATATTCTAAAAAGTAAATTTAAATACATTTAAAACAGGGATTCAAGGTTGGTACAAATTAATAATTGATACATACCGCAATAAATGGGGATTGCATGGATGGCATAGCTCGACTTTGTAATTATTTGATTTCTCAAACCTTACTGCTATTAAGTGGGAATGTGCTTTTGATAAAAAGTATCAAACGTAAATACAAACTAAAAGTACGAAAAATCCCCTGGAAGACCAGAATGATGTACACATTCGAGGAGCCGAGAAAAGCGTTGTAAGAATGGGACGAAAACTTATGCATATATACCTCCTCAGGAAGACCCCAGAATCTCTCCCAGAATATTGTACACATTTTTGCACTCCTCCGGAAGACCCCAGAATATTGTACACATTTTTGCACTCCTCCGGAAGACCCAGAATGTTGTACACATTTTTGCACTCCTCAGAAGACCGCAGAATGTTGTACACATTTTTGCACTACTCAGGAAGACCCCAGAATGTTGTAAAAAACTTTTGCACTCATCAGGAAGACCCCAGAATGTTGTACACATTAATTTTTGCACTCCTCAGGAAGACCCCAGAATGTTGTACACATTAATTTTTGCACTCCTCAGGAAGACCCCAGAATGTTGTACACATTAATTTCTGCACTCCTCAGGAAGACCCCAGAATGTTGTACACATTAATTTTTGCACTCCTCAGGAAGACCCCAGAATGTTGAACATATTAATTTTTGCACTCCTCAGGAAGACCCCAGAATGTTGAACATATTAATTTTTGCACTCCTCAGGAAGACCCCAGAATGTTGTACACATTAATTTTTGCACTCCTCAGGAAGACCCCAGAATGTTGTACACATTAATTTTTGCACTCCTCAGGAAGACCCCAGAATGTTGTACACATTAATTTCTGCACTCCTCAGGAAGACCCCAGAATGTTGTACACATTAATTTTTGCACTCCTCAGGAAGACCCCAGAATGTTGTACACATTAATTTTTGCACTCCTCAGGAAGACCCCAGAATGTTGTACACATTAATTTCTGCACTCCTCAGGAAGACCCCAGAATGTTGTACACATTAATTTTTGTATTCCTCAGGAAGACCCCAGAATGTTGTACACATTAATCTTTGCACTCCTCAGGAAGACCCCAGAATGTTGTACACATTATTTTTGTATTCCTCAGGAAGACCCCAGAATGTTGTACACATTGATTTTTGTATTCCTCAGGAAGACCCCAGAATGTTGTACACATTAATCTTTGCACTCCTCAGGAAGACCCCAGAATGTTGTACACATTAATTTTTGTATTCCTCAGGAAGACCCCAGAATGTTGTACACATTGATTTTTGTATTCCTCAGGAAGACCCCAGAATGTTGTACACATTGATTTTTATTCCTCAGGAAGACCCCAGAATGTTGTACACATTAATTTTTGCACTCCTCAGGAAGACCCCAGAATGTTGTACACATTAATTTTTGCACTCCTCAGGAAGACCCCAGAATGTTGTACACATTAATTTTTGCACTCCTCAGGAAGACCCCAGAATGTTGTACACATTAATTTTTGCACTCCTCAGGAAGACCCCAGAATGTTGTACACATTAATTTTTGCACTCCTCAGGAAGACCCCAGAATGTTGACACATTAATTTTTGCACTCCTCAGGAAGACCCCAGAATGTTGTACACATTAATTTTTGCACTCCTCAGGAAGACCCCAGAATGTTGTACACATTAATTTTTGCACTCCTCAGGAAGACCCCAGAATGTTGTACACATTAATTTTTGCACTCCTCAGGAAGACCCCAGAATGTTGTACACATTAATTTTTGCACTCCTCAGGAAGACCCCAGAATGTTGTACACATTAATTTTTGCACTCCTCAGGAAGACCCCAGAATGTTGTACACATTAATTTTTGCACTCCTCAGGAAGACCCAGAATGTTGTACACATTAATTTTTGCATCTCAGGAAGACCCCAGAATGTTGTACACATTATTTTTGCACTCCTCAGGAAGACCCAGAATGTTGTACACATTATTTTTGCACTCGTCAGGAAGACAGAATGTTGTACACATTTTTTTGCACATGCATACATCAAGGGATTTATTCAAATCTCAACAATGATTTCTAAATATTTTCTCTAACATCAATGAAGTAACACGTGTCCTATCTAAGATTCAAAATCAAACTAGTAATGAGGAAAAATGTTTTACAATTTTATACAAGCATACACTTTACTTGCATAATGCACTATTAAAACGTGTGTTGTGGGACATTTCTTCTTCCATGAATATAAATTTTTTTTGGCGTTAACTAAGCATATCCTAAGACGCGCATATACATTTTATCCGCCGAGCGCGAGGTTGTACACCGATTTTGTAATTTAAATAAGGCAAAAATTCCTTATCAAATCCCATCAATAAGGCATAACATATATAGTCTAGCCAAGTTGCATTCACAGCGGGAAGGATGAGGAATACCGGTCCGCTGTGAATCAGGAATATACAAGATGATTTAAAAAGTGATAAAATCAAGATTAGTTACATAAAGCCTGTTTTCCACTGCACCGTATATCGTAGCGAACCGTAGCGGTATTCCTTTGCATTCTTATTCCTCCAAAGCCCTTAGCTCTAGCCGAGAGCCCAGGAAAAATAATATACGCACTACTCTGCGATATATATACAGTTGAATAAGAAAACAGCTCTAATGCATCAGATTCCAGCTGTCTATTTATGACGAATATACTTACCATACTTCATTAATAGACTTCTTTGTCCGGAAAAAGCAAGTCGATCCTTCTACGCAGAATCTGCAAATATAAATAAAATATATATAACAAAAAACACTTTAAGGTTTTGATAATACACGATAACGGATCGTTATTGTAGCGGGAAGTAGTTTTGTAAGTAGGAGAGGCTGGAAGGATTCTTTGCATTGTCAGCCACTCAAGGCTGGTTTTTATAAAACAAATACATGGTTCCGCGTCGTAATTCAAATGACGTATTTATTGTAGTTCTGTTTCCATATGTCGGATTTCGCATAACAATTAACGAATTACAACGAATTAAGACATGTGAATTACGATGAATTATGTTGTATGAAAACAAGCTTTCATAGCGTACCCGTGGAGAGAATCTTGTCTTTGACCCGTTGTATTTCTCGTATTTAACGTAGCTAATGAACTGCATATGAAGGAGTCTCAATGTTATCTCCACACTCGTCATCAGTTCGCATCAGGCGACCAAGATTTCGTGAAGCCTCTATGGAAGTTTTGGATTTCTCTGTCAGGAGATAATATCTCTTTGCCGTCGCTTCGTTGTGAGCCATAAGGCTAGCCAATTTCGCACTCATCTCTGGCTTATCGACATTAACTTTCGTCACTGCTGCTTTCCGAAACGATGTCGATGTTACTTTAACATCCACTCCAGCTTTTTTAAAGACAGATTGTACTGCCTTAGTGATGTGCACAGAATTCATAGGGTTTCCGTTCCAGGATATGAATACTGGGCCATTCATTCGGGTGGTAACATGGGCTCGCATTATGCCAACGAATATTGACAGCCACGCCTTCAGTTTTTCACTCAATACAACACGAGCTGGTCCATGAACATGTGCAGTTTTGTGCTTCTTCACTGTTATGAGGTAATAGTCATCTTGCTTTCGGATGTTTGTAAATTCCTCCATCGTCATTATGTGCTAGGACACCTGGTCGATTGGCATTGTCTATAAAGATTTGAGTGAACAGGAAATCCCTAACCAAGGTAAAACTGGATAGAGTGACAGGCGTGGACTCAGCTGGATCGGAGTATTGGCAATGATCTTAGCCGCCTATCGAGCTGCTGCGCTTTTCTCCAACTTCCTGATGTTTGATGGTGTCAAACGATTCAGCATATCTTCTTCAAGCTTTTGCCATTTCCTTGTGCTTGATTCTCTCCTGTAAGATGAGACCACATCTTTACTTTTTCTCGCGCTGAGCTTACGTCTACCCAACTGAATTTAATTGTATCTGTTTGTCGGACAGGACAAATGAATACTCATCAAATACGACTTGATTGTGCCAGCTTCATACTTTTTTGTTTCACATGCATGCACACTTAAAAATGCTTGACGTATTAACTTCAGGTCAAACCGGGACTGAATGTTCTCTAAATCATTAATGGCTTTTAGCATGATATAAAGCTGAAAACCATGTTGCAAAACCGTTTTTTCATCCTTTTTGCTGCCATCAGGTGACGCCATCCACTCTTGGAACTCCATAATTATAGGTGGTAATAGAATCATGTAAGAAACAGTAAATATTATAGTATCATGTAAGCAAACAGTCAATATTATAGAATCATGTAACACAAAAGTACAGTCAATATTATAGAATCATGTAAGCAAACAGTCAATATTATAGAATCATGTAAGCAAACAGTCAATATTATAGAATCATGTAAGCAAACAGTCAATATTATAGAATCATGTAACACAAACAGTCAATATTATAGAATCATGTAAGCAAACAGTCAATATTATAGAATCATGTAAGCAAACAGTCAATATTATAGAATCATGTAAGCAAACAGTCAATATTATAGAATCATGTAAGCAAACAGTCATATTATAGAATCATGTAAGCAACAGTCATATTATAGAACAAGTAAGCAAACAGTCAATATTATAGAATCATGTAAGCAAACAGTCCATATTATAGAATCATGTAAGCAACAGTCATTATTATAGAATCATGTAAAACAAAAGTACAGTCAATATTATAGAATCATGTAAGCAAACATCAATATTATAGAATCATGTAAGCAAACAGTCAATATTATCGAATCATGTAAGCAAACATCAATATTATAGAATCATGTAAGCAAACAGTCAATATTATAGAATCATGTAAGCAAACATTCAATATTATCGAATCATGTAAGCAAAAGTCAATATTAAGAATCATGTAAGCAATGTCATATTATAGAATCATGTAACACAAAGTACAGTCAATATTATAGAATCATGTAAGCAAACATCAATATTATCGAATCATGTAAGCAAAAGTCAATATTAAGAATCATGTAAGCAAACAGTCAATATTATAGAATCATGTAAGCAAACAGTCAATATTATCGAATCATGTAAGCAAACATCAATATTATAGAATCATGTAAGCAAACATCAATATTATAGAATCATGTAAGCAAACAGTCAATATTATAGAATCATGTAAGCAAACATCAATATTATAGAATCATGTAAGCAAACATCAATATTATCGAATCATGTAAGCAAACATCAATATTATCGAATCATGTAAGCAAACAGTCAATATTATCGAATCATGTAAGCAAACATCAATATTATAGAATCATGTAAGCAAACATCAATATTATCGAATATGTAAGCAAAAGTCAATATTAAGAATCATGTAAGCAAACAGTCAATATTATAGAATCATGTAACACAAACAGTCAATATTATAAATCATGTAAGCAAACAGTCAATATTATAGAATCATGTAAAAAACAGTCAATATTATAGAATCATGTAAGCAAACAGTCAATATTATAGAATCATGTAAGCAACAGTCAATATTATAGAATCATGTAAGCAAACAGTAATATTATAGAATCATGTAAGCAAACAATCAATATTATAGAATCATGTAAGCAAACAGTCAATATTATAGAATCATGTAAGCAAACAATCAATATTATAGAATCATGTAAGCAAAAGTCAATATTATAGAATCATTAAGCAAAAGTCAATATTATAGAATCATGTAAGCAAACAGTCAATATTATAGAATCATGTAAGCAAACGTCAATATTATAGAATCATGTAAGCAAACAGTCAATATTATAGAATCATGTAAGCAAACAGTCAATATTATAGAATCATGTAAGCAAACAGTCAATATTATAGAATCATGTAAGCAAAAGTCAATATTAGAATCATGTAAGCAAACAGTCAATATTATAGAATCATGTAAGCAAACAGTCAATATTATTGAATCATGTAAGCAAACAGTCAATTATAGAATCATGTAAGCAAACAGTCATATTATAGAATCATGTAAGCAAACAGTCAATATTATAGAATCATGTAAGCAAACAGTCATATTACAGAATCATGTAAGCAAACAGTCATTATTATAGAATCATGTAAGCAAACAGTCAATATTATAGAATCATGTAAGCAAACAGTCATATTATAGAATCATGTAAGCAAACAGTCATATTATAGAATCATGTAAGCAAACAGTCAATATTATAGAATCATGTAACACAAACAGTCAATATTATAGAATCATGTAAGCAAACAGTCAATATTATAGAATCATGTAAGCAAACAGTCAATATTATAGAATCATGTAAGCAAACAGTCAATATTATAGAATCATGTAAGCAAACAGTCATATTATAGAATCATGTAAGCAAACAGTCAATATTATAGAATCATGTAAGCAAACAGTCATATTATAGAATCATGTAAGCAACAGTCATATTATAGAATCATGTAACACAAAAGTACAGTCAATATTATAGAATCATGTAAGCAAACATCAATATTATAGAATCATGTAAGCAAAAAGTCAATATTAAGAATCATGTAAGCAAACAGTCAATATTATAGAATCATGTAAGCAACAGTCAATATTATCGAATCATGTAAGCAAAAAGTCAATATTAAGAATCATGTAAGCAAACAGTCAATATTATAGAATCATGTAAGCAAACAGTCAATATTATAGAATCATGTAAGCAAACAGTCAATATTATGAATCATGTAAGCAAACAGTCAATATTAAGAATCATGTAAGCAAACAGTCAATATTATAGAATCATGTAAGCAAACAGTCATATATTATCGAATCATGTAAGCAAAAGTCATATTAAGAATCATGTAAGCAAACAGTCAATATTATAGAATCATGTAAGCAAACAGTCAATATTATAGAATCATGTAAGCAAACAGTCAATATTATCGAATCATGTAAGCAAAAGTCATTATAAAGAATCATGTAAGCAAACAGTCAATATTATAGAATCATGTAACACAAACAGTCAATATTATAGAATCATGTAAGCAAACAGTCAATATTATGAATCATGTAAGCAAACAGTCATATTATAGAATCATGTAAGCAAACAGTCAATATTATAGAATCATGTAAGCAAACAGTCAATATTATAGAATCATGTAAGCAAACAGTCAATATTATAGAATCATGTAAGCAAACAGTCAATTTATAGAATCATGTAAGCAAACAGTCAATATTATAGAATCATGTAAGCAAACAGTCATATTATAGAATCATGTAAGCAAACAGTCAATATTATAGAATCATGTAAGCAAACAGTCAATATTATAGAATCATGTAAGCAAACAGTCAATATATAGACATGTAAGCAAACAGTCAATATTATAGAATCATGTAAGCAAACAGTCAATATTATAGAATCATGTAAGCAAACAGTCAATATTATAGAATCATGTAAGCAAACAGTCAATATTAAAGAATCATGTAAGCAAACAGTCAATATTATAGAATCATGTAAGCAAACAAATCAATATTATAGAATCATGTAAGCAACAGTCAATATTATTGAATCATGTAAGCAAACAGTCATATTATAGAATCATGTAAGCAAACAGTCAATATTATAGAATCATGTAAGCAAACAGTCAATATTATAGAATCATGTAAGCAAACAGTCAATATTATAGAATCATGTAAGCAAACAGTCAATATTATAGAATCATGTAAGCAAACAGTCAATATTATAGAATCATGTAAGCAAACAGTCAATATTATAGAATCATGTAAGCAAACAGTCATATTATAGAATCAGTAAGCAAACAGTCAATATTATAGAATCATGTAAGCAAACAGTCATATTATAGAATCATGTAAGCAACAGTCAATTATTATAGAATCATGTAAGCAAAGTACAGTCAATATTATAGAATCATGTAAGCAAACATCAATATTATAGAATCATGTAAGCAAACAGTCAATATTATGAATCATGTAAGCAAACATCAATATTATAGAATCATGTAAGCAAACAGTCAATATTATAGAATCATGTAAGCAAACATCAATATTATAGAATCATGTAAGCAAAAGTCAATATTAAGAATCATGTAAGCAAACGTCATATTATAGAATCATGTAACACAAACAGTCA